CCCCACCTACTCCACCTCCCCCACCTCATGCTACAAGAGCAAGGGAGCTGCTGGTGAAATTAAAGGCAGCAAATTTTAAACCAGTTTAACAAACATGTCAGAGCTATGCTTTGCTAGCATGTGTGGAGTGTTCCAGCTCAGCAAAAGCCTTTAAAATAACATTAATACTTATGAAACGGAGGATGTTCTTATTCTTGTTAGGTGGGATAAACATTGTTCGAGAACCTGTAAATTAATTCTTTGGGCATAAACTGAACACTGTGCCTCTATGTGCTGGAAAAAAACTTCCTTGAAGGGAGATTATTCCATAATTGCCCATTAAGAGGATTTCACACCTTTGTCTGAAGCATCTGGTCCTGGTTGCTGCCGGGGACTGGAATGCCAGACTAAATGACCATTGCTCTGATCTGTCTGGCAGTTCCTTTCCTCAACTTCTCTAATTGTGCTGCAGGGCCTGCAAAACCCATCAAGCGCTCTCCTCCCTGCAGCTCACACCTGCCACAGCTGCCAGTTTGGCTGCCTCGCTGTCCTGAGGGGTGAAGGGGGAAGAGCTCAGCAGTTTCAGGAATAAACTCAACAGATGTACGTGGGAGTTATTGACCCGTCTAGAACTGAAGTTTTAATTTGTAGCTGCAGGCTCCTTCCCCCCTCTTCTGGAAACTTTTGAGGAGCAGATTGAAGAGGGCTTGAGATGAAGTAACCTTTCATCCCGATTCTCTGAAGTTCCCTGCAAAAATGTTCAGAAGCTTTTAAAAATGGCAGTGATGGAAAATAGTCAGGTGCTGTTAGCCGTGGGACACTCAGTTAAGTGCTAGCTACCTCAGTGCTTTATAAAGATTAGGTTTGGAGTGATCCTTATTTTACAAATCGCTAGGCTTCTGGGATCCACCAGTTCTTTAATTCTGGGTTTAACTTGTACGCAGGGTAGAGTGTTCTCATTGAAACTCTGCTGCATGGCTGCATCAGTGTTGATGTTTGGGCAGCTCTTACGTGTCCATGCTTCCTTGTGTTGCTGTGTCCATCCTTAGTCAAATCGGCAGAACCCCAGCTACTGAGCCCTTCTGCATAAATTGCCATGCCTGGGCTGGTGGGCAGCCGCGTGGCTGTGTTCCTGCCCGCGGAGTTAAAGCCTCATTAGCGGGAATGTTGTAGGGTTTCATGGAGCTCAGCTCCACCCCTCCAGCTGCATCTGTCTGGAGGTAATCCACACAGAACTGCCTTGTCCAGACACAAGGCACTGTGTCCTCTCCCTTCCCTAAAGAGCCTTGGCCTTCCAGACATGGCTGCCTGTGCCAGGAGGGAAGGGGACATGCTTCAACCCCCCCGCCCTTAGGTGGCAGGGTCCCCCTGGGCAGCTGCCACTCCTCCTGCCCCGCTCGTAGCCCTGGGAGGAGCGCCCTGTCGTACAGACCGTTGTTTTCCAAGGTCAGGAGGATGCAAGTGTGACTGTTGTGCCCATATCCAGGTGATAACACCTTGCTGGCCCTTCCATCCCCTGTTACACCGGTCTCGCTTCTCCTTTCCCCTGTGGCCTCTCTCATAGCTCTGCTCTGTGTGTGTTTGGGGCAGACAAGTGAGATGTGCTGAGATCCTGTTCCTGCACACCACTTCAAAGAGCTGGATTTGGGCGAGCCTGCCTCCCCTGCCAGCGCAGAGGCATCCGGCAGGCAAGCGCTGGAGGGAGGGAGGGAATGAGCCCAGGGTGGCCTGAGGGACGAAGTGGTTTTGAAAGCTGCTGTTGGGAGGCCCGTGTCCCTCAGGTGAACAGCAGCTCTTCCAAACGGTGCAGGATTCCAGCTCCTCTCTTCCTTAATGAGGGTGTAACGCTGAGCTTGTTCTTTTCTGGGGTCCCAGTACTTGTGCTGTGTCGTCCCCTGGCACTGAGAGCTAGACAGAACTTCTCTCTGGGGGAACAAGAGCAGGAGAGGAAGTGGGGAGTGGATGGATGTGTTGCGGAAGAGGCAAGAAACAGTTAAGTTTTTTTTTTTTTTTTCTTGTAACTTTCCAGTCTCCCATCCTCATTCTTTAAAGCTTGTTTTGGTGTCTTTTTAGTCCTTGAAGCCCAGGCTGCTTTTGTTATGGGACTGGTAGGTGATGCATGAGAAAGAAGATGTGAATCTGAGTCTCAGGCCGTCAGGGCTGGGAGAACAATTCATTCTTTACTGACTTGGCAACGGCTCTTTGCCTCCTTCATTGCCCTTCAGGTGCCACTCATGGCAAGACTAAAGGCAGCCATCTCTTCTCTGATCCTCTTGAAGTAGTAAGTGGCTGTCTTGCACTTGCCCAAATTCTTCAGCAGCGAAGTAAAGGCAGTGGCAGCAACAGGAGGAGCTGTCCTTGCGGGGGAAGCCTCATCACATGACTTGTTCTGTGCTTCCTCTGTATCGTCTGTCTTGCTTGCTCTGTGCTCCAGAGGGATGACCACTGTCAGCATGGTGCTTGCCTCTATTAACTGCAGAAAATTGCTTGAATGCAGTAACAGGGATATGCAGTTTGTTCCAGGTGAGGAAACACATAAGGGAAAAGGTCTGTGTCCCCTTTATCATCCTGCGTCCCAGTGACACCCCGTGTCCCCTGGATTAAAAATCCCTGCACCTTGCGCAAGACTTGTCCAGGATTATTGCAAATGGCAGGGAAATGCTTTGCTCCAGATACTAAGCCTGTGCCTTAAAAAGTCCTCAGCATGCTCTTTGCTCTTTCCTTACTCTTCCTCTTTCCTTACTCTTCCTCACTCCTGCTGCTCTCTGACTTCACCAATTTTTCATTGCTTCATGAAAGAGCAGTGCTGAGGAAAGGCAAGGAAGTGGCTGTAGTAACCCTGACAAATTGGCACCTGGACTTAATGATTGCAGCAACTGAAATTCCTGCTCAACTGTTACTGCTGCTGTTTGGGTTTTTTTAAAACAAAACCCAATAAGCTTGTGCTGAAAAAAATGCTAAAGGTTGTTTGAAGGCCAGCAGGCTGGTTCTGATGATCCTGGCTCCCCTGCACAGCAGAGGTCATAGAACCTCATGTGGGAAGGGGTTTGCAAACACCTGTGTGCCTTACAGGGAAGGGACTTGAATGTCAGTGTGATGCAAGTATTTAAATCAGTTAAGTGCTTTGGCAGACCTGTCCCCTTTCCTTCGAGACTGGAATTTAGGTACTCTGGCTGTCCCTTTCAGCACCTGCTCCAGAATTAATGCAGCTGTGTTTGCGCTAGTGGCGATCACAAAGAGGAGTAAGAAATTGTGTTTCCTTGTTGTGTGAGTCTAACTTACCTGTAACGCTCTAGCCAGACCAAGCAGTGCAGTTTTGGGTGCCTCCTTGTTTATGCTTTTACTAGGTGTTTGCGTTCCAGCTTTGCCTCTGCAGAGTAAATGAAATGTCATCCCTCTCAGGTTTGTCCAGCCAAAGAGCGAGCGGGGGACGAGCCCTGGCTGTTTGTGAATTCCAGGCTGGCGGTGAGGGAAGAGGCAGGTTATTGTGCAGAGTAAATCTGTCACCGCTCTGGTGCTAGCAGTTCTTGTTGAAGCGGAGCTAGCTGCAAACAATCCCTGGAGTATCCCAAATAGGAGAAATGTGGGAAAGAAATAACCAGCTGAAGCTCAAGATCTCATTTGTTGGGGCAGGTACCCTAGAACCATCCCACCAGCTCTTGGTGTGTGCTGCCAGAGCAGCCTGTCTCTGCAGCACCATCTCCTGCCATCCCCGAGTCCAGGCTGGTTTGGGCACATTATTGTCATTACAGGAATCCCTTAAAGCAAGAAGGAGCATCTAGCAGAGAGGTGGGTGACCTTTTGGATGCCAGGCTGGCAGCAATTCTCACTCAGATCCACATGCACAGGCTGCCATCTGAAGCCGCTGTGCCATCCTTGACATGTGCCACTGCTTGCGACCTCATCTAACGTGTTGCAAGAGCAGAGTGATGATTTGAGTCAGGATGCTTTTCCTCTACTGGTAATGAGCCCATTTTTTAGAGGTGTGACAGAATTTTTGACTGAGAGATGGGTCATTTTTTTAAGGGAAGATAAAATCTGAGGGCCTGGCAGAGTGTGTCAGTGGGGGATATCACAGCATTTTGCAGGAGGAAGAAAGTCCCAAATCCTTGCTTGGGTGCGATATGAGTGATTCCCTGTTATCTCTGCATTTCCAACTGAATCTAGCAGTGGTTCCTAAACACTTGGAACTGTGAATTACTGCGAAGAGAAAAATGTATCAGTGCATCTCCATGGGCCGTACTGAAATTGCATCCCAAGTTAACCCTTGGGGTTATGTTGTTCTTTGCTCACACTGTGGGGAGCAGTGGAGTGCAGGACTCTGCTGTCGTACAGGGTCTCATGTTGCCCCTGTTCGCAGCTTGCACTTTTTAAATTTGATTGAATGTTGAATAGCTGTCAGATGTTTCCCAAGAGGCAGCTTCTGTCCAGCGTTGTTTTAAGTGGCACAGCAGTGATAAAACCTAGATTTTACAAAGTTTTGTCAATAGATTCTGAAGGGAATGGAGCAAGGGGATCTTCAGGCTGATCTGGTGCTTGGGACGCTGGGCTTGTTAGCTGCTCTGCTTCTGCAGCACCTTGGAGTGCTTGCCATATTCTGTGTTTAAAAGATCACCAGCTGAAAAAGAGCCTCGTAATCTGCTCTCCAGAAAGTTGGAGGCTGGTTGGGACAAATGTGTTGCATTAGGAATACAGGTGCCCCATCCCTTTCCCCATGCAAATGATGAGATCCTTCCAGTTCAGCACCACTGCAAGGTAGAATACACCCAACTCCAAGAAGAGTGTGTTACCTGTGTGAGTAGCAGATCAGGACCTTGTTACAGTATTAGTAAGTAGGACCTTGTACTACATGCTTAGGTGTTGCTCTGATTTTACCTCTGTGTTGCAGAACGTTTGCTGTAGGAACACTTGCATGTCTAGAAGTGACGAATTTGTACTCTCTCTCTTTAGCAGTCCATGAATTCAAGTACGACGGCACTGCCTACCGACCTGCCAAGCTTCAACCTCATCAGCGAGAGCCTGTCCTTTGACTTCAAAGATACGGACATGAAGAGGCTTTCAATGGAAATCGAGAAAGAGAAGTATGTGGCATGCATCCAGGCCAGGCCAGGGCTGGGATTTGTGCCTCAGTTGCAGTGGGAGGAATTGCACCGGGGCTGAATGGACTTTTACGTTCCAGACCAGTGTGAGGTGAAAAGGGGAGAAGTCTTTTGGGTCTGCAATTTAGCAGGTCATTGGTAGCTCTGCCCAGAGCGTGATGTAGCTGCTGGTTGACCATTTCTCTGGGTGGAGACCTGGTGTCATAGATGCATCCCTACTGCCTGCTTAAAGGCGAGTTTAAGCGCTCTGAGCACTGCACCAGCCAGTTTCTCTCCGTATGGTTAACCTGGCTCTTGATTGGGCTTGAATTGTCCATGTTGGTAGAAGGAGTTAACGGCAGTCTGACTTGTGGTGTGCTGAACTATAGCAGGCTGGCACTTGCGCATTTGCAGTGTGTCCAGAGAATGTAAAGATAGCTGGAGTCTGTGCTAGGGCTTTTAACCCCTTTTTCTTGGAATCTGTGTCATGTTTATATATAAAAAGTGTGCGCAAGCAAGTTTGGATGCAATTATGAGCTTTGATCTTGTGTTTTCCTGAGGGTGTAAGTGTAGCCTTCAAAATTACAAATTTAGCAGCAATCAAAGCAGATCAGATTTTAATCTCTGTAGTAATAATGTGCTTTGTTCATTGATTGGGTAGTAGATCAAAGCTGGAAGGGCTCTGCCATAGTGCTCTGGCCAAAACTTCCTGGGGCTCGAATGAAATGCCCCTGGATCCCAGAGGGTGGTTCATTCTGCCTCTGCTGAGTACCCTATGAAGTAACAGACCACTATGCTAGAGACAGAGGTTAAAAACTTTTCCTAAAGCTAGAAGGAAAAAGATAGAAGCTGAAAATAACAGGATAATTCCTGTATTCTGTACCCAGGTTGCTAAGTAGGTCATCCCACTCTCCTAAGCAGGAAGAGCTTGGCTCTGCCAAATGCTGAAAGCAGTAACATGCTTTCACTGACTTCTCCAGGACTGTTTGCATTCCTCGGGTGCTGAGATAAACCCTGCTACAAATTTTGGCACTCTGAAAAGGTTCTTGTTAGTCTGCTGGTACTTTGACCTGGGTCTCAGTGCTTAGTCACAAGTGCAAGGCTGGCATGGTGTGATTTTTCTCCAGTTGATGCTTCGTCATGGAAGGCAGTTAGGGACGAGTCCTGAGAATGGGTGGGTTTGGATTTTTTTCTTTCTTTTTTCTGGGAGACCTTTCTCTCTCCCAGGGATGCTGTGTGTCTAAAAGATACCTGATATTTGGGGGGCAGTGCTTGCTCCCAACATGGTTTACAAAGCTAAATCCCTCTAAAACATGAGAAATCAGTACACCAGGGTCCTTCCTTTCTGGAAGGATTCATACCTTTGAGTTTGTGAGCTGGGTTTGAGAGAGAGTGCAGTGGAATAGAGCAGCACTGCTTAAACTGCTATCTTGTAGGCTGAAACTGTGTATGTAATGTTAACCTGTGTCGTGGTGCAGCTTCACTTGGAAATGGGGAGACTTACAAGTATCATCCAGCAGCTCTAGTTTGGCTTTGTTTTTTTTTTGTAGTAACATAAGTTACAGTTTTGTTCTTGGGTCAGCTGCCTGGGTCCTCTTTTTAGTAATGAACAAATCATTGCTCGGAGTAGTTTACTGTGTACTGTAAACTGATGTTGTCAGTTCCACACACTGGAAGTGATGAAGATAAGGTTTTTCTGTTACAATTCCATTATCGACTGCCACAGTATCATGTCAGCATGTACAGCTGGCCAGCACTAACCCAGGACTCTTTTGTGTGTGCTAGGGTAGAGTACATGGAGAAAAGCAAGCACCTGCAGGAGCAGCTGAATGAGCTGAAGACAGAAATTGAGGCACTGAAGCTAAAGGAGAGAGAGACAGCTCTGGATATATTGCACAACGAGAATGCCAGCCGAGGCAACAGCAAGCACAACACTATTAAAAAGGTATCGGAGGGATCCAGTTTGTATCTTGCCTGATTAAATCTTTTAAAAAGAACAATGAAATAACCCTTCCATTTGGTTTAGCTTTTGCACAAGTTGTTATAATAAAATTGTTTGATCTAGGCTTTCTTCCCTCTGCTGCTTAGCTTTGAACCAGGGTGCAGAAAATTTCAGCTTCTGGTGGCTCCTGGTTTATATTTGCCACAACCAAGCCTTGTCTCTTCAGTGCTGTGTGAGGGGATGCAAAGGTCTCAAGGTTTGAAGGTCTTGCTGAACCTTAACAAAAGCTGTACAGGGATGCTGTTAGAAGGGATCTGCTACCCTAGTGACCCCAGGAACAGAAAAGCCCGACCTGCCTATTGCAACCATTCCCTAAAGGCATTGCAAGGAAGCAGTCTTGAGCTTGGCTGGTGAATAATAAGGGCAAAAATACTCCTGACTTACGGGCTCTCAGTAGAAAAAGCCAAAAGCCTCGTCCTCTCTTTTAATCTGTTCTTTAGTAGTAGTGCAGCTTCAAATACTAACAGCAAAATCTTTTGCTAGCAGGGTGTGTGTGAGGTGTCTGCTCCCTGTGCTGTGGACCCTGGAACCACCTGCCTCTAGAAATGTGTTTGGGATGAATACTTAGCCAAAAAGTTAGGATGGCTGGGTCTGCTAGCTGGGTTTCACACCTGAAAGGTCACGACAAAGCCATTCTTTAGTTTTATGTCCAGTTTTTTTCCTTTTGCTTAGTAGCTCTGCTGTTCTCCCAGCTGGGCTCAGTGTAACGAGGGGCTGGGGGCACATCCATAACTGGTACGGTGGGATGTAGTAGTCAGCCCCACTCACCTGCAAAGGCTTTTACCCTGCCAAGGCTTTTACCCAGCTGGCTTTCTGCTAGCAGCTGTCCTTGTGAAGGATTCGGAAATCTGTATGGCATGGGGTGCAGGTTGTGGTAACAACTCCAGGTTTTAAAAACAAATCCTTATCTCTTTACCGCTCCCAGCTGAGACTTATGTCTGAAAGTATTTGAAAACAGCGCTTCATGCCAACTTCCGTGGCTGGGAGCTTATGGTCACGGAATTGGGGCAGGAAAATGAATCTAGCATGTCTCCCTTCACAGTTTCCCTGTGCTAGCCCTGAGCTATTCAGGTTCCTGTCCCTCCAGAGCGGAGAATATAAAAATCTTCACAGACCCTTTTGTCATCATAGAATCTGAAGACATTTCTGCTCCCAGTAGGTTTTTCTAGGTTTTGTCTCCATGCTCAGAGTCCTCAGTTTAAATGGAAAACGCTAAATTTTTACTTCTGACAGAGATGAGTTCATAGAGAGCTGATGGTCCCATTTGTCTCACTTAAAGAAGGTGGCTGGGCAATCATTTCGATGTCTGTCAGGGCTCATCGCTGTAATTGGGACTGTGCGGTCAGTCTTCGTTCCTTTGAAGCTGGAGTCTTGTCCTGTCCCCTCTCAGCCGGAGGAGCAAAGGCTTTTAAATAATAGTCTATTAGTGGAGCATGTCAGAATAAAATTACAGACTGCTTCTGTTCATGCCACCAGGAGGTCAGGAGGGCTTTTGTCTTTGCAGTTGTGATGGAAAGGAAAATGCAAGACACTGGAAATGGGATAGCAGTTTAGCAACACTTAAATAATAACAATCCTCTGCCCCACCTGGAAGCCACTGATCACTTCAGCGCTCTGGGCAAACTGTACAGATTGCACAAATGACCTGACATTACTTGTATCACAGAGGATTATTTTTCTGTTGTTGTTCATTTTATTTTGCTGGTTTAGCCTCAAGCCCAGGGCAGAAGACCTATCTGCATTTGAGACTTCAAAGTAGGTTATTCTGAGGTACTCTGCGTGGGGTGATGGGATCACCAGCTGTAATACTACTAACCCATGCATGAGCTTGCCCGCGATACGCACTGCTCTAGCCAGCTCCCATTGCTGCCACCCCTACAATGCTCCTTATGCACTGCAGCGGGGTGCAGTGCCGGTGAGACTGGGCTCGCTGCAGTGCAGCACCCTGCCCACCCCTGCAGTGGACCCGTGCAGCATGTTGCAGGCAGCCACTCTGCCCGGCTCTCGCTCCCTTGGTAGCATTCACAGCCTGTCTGCATTCGTTTTAGCACCTGATCCTCCGTGCTGGGAAGTGTCTTTCTTGGCAGAAGTTGAGTTGGCAATATCAGTGGGGGAGTGCAGGCGTAGATGCTTAAATAATTAAACATGCCTGTTTTTGCTGTGCTGCTGATGGCTGGGAATCTATTGGAGGTGCAGGGTGGTCTTTGAAGATTTCTTTAATGAAGTAAATGAGGACCTTCCCCCTTGTTTGCTGCAGAAAGAAATTAAGTTTTTTAAAAAAAAAAAAGCAAACAACCAGACAAATCTGATCAACTCTTTGCTGCCAAAACTGTCATAACAGGCTAAAAACGTGCACCTCCGTCTTTAGAGCGGAGCAGCACGTGGACATGTTATCAGCATCTGCGTGTTTGAGAAGTATCACAATATTGTGGTTTAGCCCCAGTTGGGAACCAAGCACCACACAGCCAAAACCAGGACACTCAGGAATGTAAAGCAGAGGGCTGAGGACAGCGGGCCTCTGGAGGTAGCTCTTGGGTAGCACTGCAGCTGGGGTTGGTGCAGGGAGACTGTGCTGGAGGTAGCGCTGTTGGTCACCATCGCGCCTGGGGACACTGGCTGTTAGAGCCACTCTCCTTCCTGCCTGCGATGCCTCTGCCTGTCCCCTGCCTCCTTCAGCACACCAGTGACTTCTGCTCTATTAACGCCATGTCTCTTCTTTCCGGAGCCTGCTTTCCTCTGAGGATTTGCTCTCAATCTGCAGGCTGTGTGTATGCAGAGCATTGACTCCCTCCTTCGAGAGGATGAGTTTGGGGAAGCTTTTTTGCTCTTTCCTCGACTGCGGTTCTTGCACACCCACCAGGTTTAGCAAGTTTTGAGTGGTAGCGCTAAGGGAAGAAACGGCATGGATGCTGCAGTAGCAGCACTCATGAAGGCGGGTGGCAAACCTGGTGGTAAGTGCCTTTTGAAACGGCTTTCATTAAAAGTTACTCTGAGGGCTTGCACAGCCCTGCCTGCATGGCAGGCACGTACAGCCGACCATGGAGCAATTTCTCAGCACCTCTGGAGTTCTATAGAGGAGGCAGGAGGATGCTTTAGATGCAGACTTCTCCCTGGCCGGTACCCAGAAGTGATCAGCACAGGTTTGTGCCATTCTTGAATGGACCAGCCCTTTCAGGGCTGTAGGCAGCACTGTAAGTCACTCCAGTTAGGGTTTTGTGATTGCTGGCTGCTGCCAGCTGCTCTCAGGAAGGCTGCGGGTGTTCCCAAGACCAGCCGCTCTTGTTAAATGTTTCCTTGGGAAGAGAGAGGAAGTGGCTAAAACAAAGGGTGACCCTGCAGGTCTGGGACACCCTGGGGGAGGTGTTGGATGTCTCTCTGGGGCAGGCTGGCTGTGGTTGAAACCCACTGTCCCATCCTGACTGGCTTGAGGAACTCCGTGGCAGGTGAAATTGGGGCAAAATCTGCTTGCGGCCACAGCACGAGATGGTGAAATGAAGCCCTGGCAACTTGTGAAAAGACTAATCCAGCAGCTGGGAGAGATTCGGTGCCTGGGAGGAGCCCCCATAATTAATCCAGATGCACAGCAAGTGCTGTGGTGTGACCTCTGGGTTTTGTTGCCTGCCTTTGAAGATGCCTGCTAAGTTTTTCATGTTTAATTACGTGGTTAACATGCTAATCCTTTTTTATGAGCTCTGTGGGCACAGCACAAGTACCTCATCTGGAAACTGATTTCCCTTCTCCATAGCGCTCTCCGCCGTGGGCTGGCACTGCTGACTCCAGCTGGCTCGGCTTCGGGAGGGTTTGCCGCTTAGGCCGTGGTAGAAGATGAAAAAACTCACTTCTTCCTTGCATCCTCTGGTATAGAAAGGCTCCCAGGACAGGCTGCTGCTCTAAAACACAATTGGGTCTTTCATTCCAGTTCCTTTCTTCTTGCACAGTCATGCTTATTTATTGTGATTTAAGCCCTTTGAAGTATCCAGGCAAGGAGCAAATCTCCACATCTGTTTGCAGACAAGCAGCTTTGTCCTTGAGCAGCGCTCTGGTCCTTTGATGGACGGGCTTGGCCTTTCCCTGCCCGGCTCTCAGGTGGCTCTTGGCTTTTTCTCGGACACAGCATTTCTCTGGGCTCAAGCTGGCTCCTTGGGGCCGCTGCTCTTGGTGCCTGTGGGAATTGGCGCGGACATCAGTGGTGGGGTGAGCTGTTGCTGACTGTGCTCTTGCTGTCTCCTCTCCTGGCTCATCCTGGTTGCGGTGCAGCATACCTCAACTTGGGTAACTCAGGACTTTTTCCTATCGTTGGGGCACTTGGGCTTTGGATAAGCTATTTCAAATCTGCTTATTTATCACCAGTAGACTGGACTGGGCTTCCTCCATCACTGGGCCACAAATGGTCATGTTCTACCATGTTCCTGTGGATGCAGCATCGTCCCCTTTGGGTTTAGGCAATGAGCAGCTCCTGGCTGCCAAGCACAGAGGGGCAAGCGAGGCAGAGCAAAGTGGACTTTTGCAGGCTTGTCTTCACTCCTCTCGCCTTCAAGACATGCTGTGGTCTGTCCTCTACAGCATTGTAAGGACACTGGTGAGTTACTGATGGGCACTGCCATCTGAATCTGTTGTGATGCAGATATGAAGCTACTGTGCCACCGCTGAATATCATGAGGCTACTTAATCATCTGGACAGGCTGAAGGTTTTCTAGAGGCTGCATTGGGGCAGACGGCTTCTCTGCCTGTTTTCCAGCTGTGCCTGGCTAGCATCTTGCCAGGGACCCCTGAAACATGTCCCTCAAGGACTTCAACAAATCTTGTGGGGTCTCTTTGTCATCTCCTGGGGACTCCCTTCCTCACCTCTCCTCTTCTGGGACCTTCAGACTCCCCTGTGTGAAATGGGTCCACTTTGCTCCAGCGGTTTACTGGGGAGATGGAGGACCATGGCCATTTCAGGGAAGGAGGATGCTGTTATGCCTCTGGAGCTTCATCCTGCAGAGGGAGGGGACCAGCACAAGAAATACTTCTGCTCTGGGAAGGGCAGGAGGGAGCCTGGGTGGCACAGAGCAGGCTGAG